AACCCTTCCAACCTGTCTAATCCTGTCTACCTTCTCCATACAAACCCTTCACTCCAGCTAACTCACCTCCTGTCTTTTTTTTTTTTAAGATTTATTTTTATTTATGCATGCATGCAAGAACTGGGGTATAGACCAGAGGTGCAGGGGGCTCCACTAGAGACAGAGTGGGAGCAGAATAGGCAGATCAACTGAAATACACTGCTGTGGAGCAGCAGGCGAGACAGGAGAGGTCTGCTGTGCCATGTGGGTTATCTCCCTGGCCAAGGATAGAACTCTTGCCTCAGTGTCTGGCACCAGCTTGTTATCACTGAGATTTAACCCCTGCACCACCAGGAAGACCTATCACCTCCTGTCTTAACTCTGGCATTGATCATACTCTTCCCTCACCAGGGATACCTTTCCAACTCTTTTTTGATCCTCCAATCCTAAATATCTATCAGAGCTGTTGTTTTCCAACCAGACTTTCTGAACACACCAGTCAAAATTGATTTTCCTGGCCTCCTCAGACAATTATTACAATGGTTCCCAGGCTAACTAATTCTTTTCTCTGTATGTGCCACACATCCCTAAATAGACCGGTGGATCCTGGATGCTAACCTCCCACATACCAATTACATGCTTCTAGGTCATAAGAAAGGAAAACAGTGATTGCTTCTTCAATTAGGGAAAAGGGCAATGAACTGAGACAAAGACAAAGTTTCTCTTAGCTTCTAGGGCTTTAGAATTTTAAGAGCCTAGAGGATGCTCTTAACTTAAAGTTATCTATATTCTTTAGATCTCCCAAGGCTCACATGGTCTCCACCCACTTTTAGTTCTCCAAGCCATACCAAGGTGAAATTACTGAAGAGGCCTATGCTAGCCATATTGAGAAAGGCCTACGTGACCCTTTTGGGGAGATCAACCCCATACCATCTATTTAGTGTCTCAGGGAGACTCATAGGCAATGGCATAACTTGAAGTCACTGAACAGTTGACAAATAGAAAATGAGGGCCAACTGCAATGTCAAACATTGTGCTAAGTATTAGGGAGTCCCTGGTGAGCAAGACCACCATGCTCTATGCCCTTCTTGGGAAAATTCTCTGGGATGTGATAAACACTTCATTCAGAGAGGTGTGTGGTGCTAGGGGAATGCATAGTGCTCAGCAGAATCTAACACAGACTAGGAAGTCAGGAAAAGCTTTCCAGAAGGAGTGATATGTCAAGAAAGATAATAGGAGTCAGCAAAGTAAAGAGACAATGGCAGATGGTAGAGGAAAGAACAGGCAGCCAAACACTGGCATTCAAGACGAGTGAAGACCTAGGAGAAATCAGTATGACTGGAACATAAAATAAAGGAAAAGAAAGATGTAGCTGAGGATGTAGAGGAAGGTAGATCTAACTACATTTGAAAAAAAAAAAGAACTTGACCATAAGAATGCTGGGGCCTTTCAGGAGTTTTAAAGAAAAAGGACATCCTGAGAAGATCGGTATTTAGGATGGTCATTAAGCAAATTGGAGAGTGGCATGAAGAAGAATAAGCAAGGAGTCAAGATTAGTTGAGACTGTTGCTGTTGTCCAGGAACCAATGGTGATAGCCTAAAGTAGACCCTGGAGGGTGGAAATTAAAGAAGTATGTAGGAGGAAAAAATGGAGAGGACATGGTGTCCAGACATAAAAATCACATAGTAATTAGAACTGGAACAGAAAAGAGTTCTGGAGTCAGGCAGATGGTTTAAATTTTGGCTGTTACCCTTTTTCAACCAACTTGCTTTCCCGTAAGATGGTGAGCAGAGCTGGTTCACAGAAGCTGGGGAGAGGAGGAGCAAGAGGACATCGACAGTTTCATAGTGTTTAGTGCATAGAAGAGGCTTAGGACTGCTTAGTCCCTTTCTTTTTTATCTGCTCCACATGTGAGCAAGGTTGTCATCAGAGTGGGAATCAACTCTCTTACAAAAATCACACCTTGGTGTGGACTGCTATTGGAAATCTTCCCAGAGCAACTCTTTTTTTTTAAGATTTATTTATTTATGCATGCAAGAATTAGGGTACAGGTCAGAGGTATGGGTGGGGGGGGGGGGTTCAGTGAGAGGATTCACCAGAGAGAGTGGGGAGCAGAATAGGCAGATCCACTGAAATACACTGCTGAGGGGAGCAGCAGGAGAGGTCTGCTGTGCCATGTGGGTTAGCTCCCTGACCAGGGATCAAACTCATGCTGTGGTGGCTGCCGATAGCTTCATAGTGCTGAGATTTAACCCCTTGCACCACCAGGGAGATCCCCAGGGCAATTCTTAAGCTTTGTTCTATGAGACATCTATGTGTATGATGACAGGGGTTTATGGAAAATGAAGGCAGTCAATTGAGATTGACAGATGCATTGGGCATAAAGCTGGAAAGAAAAATGGAAGAAATTGAGAACGCACAGAAAGGGGGAGATGAAAACATAGGGAAATGAAAAGAAAAATCTTGAGTGTAAAGTGTACATAAAATTTATCACCTAGATGCTTTCTTCAATTCAATCATAAATTTATGCAAGAAGAGGATTTGCTTTGGGGAAGATTAGAAACTTTCAAGGGCAAAAGTTTCCAGCAACTAGCAAAGAAATATATTCTTTAGTGCAACTATTTTGTGACTCAACCCATATGGAGCATATGTTTACTTTGGAAGGGTTAGCTCTAGCATTTATCACTACAGTAAAAAGTTAATCCCACATAAATTTTCCAGTTTTAAGTTTCAGATAAGTAATTCAAACCTTCTGGCAAAGTAATGAAATTACCAGAGTGACCACATTAATCTTTTATTCCAGTGATTAACTGTGGCTTACTTTTGGTGAACTTTATTGGACTCTTTGTCACTCTCTGCTTGCTTTCTGTCCTGTGTAGCTTTGGACTTTCCTAGTTACACTGGATCCATACCCTTCCAGAATTCTTCTCTTGGAGCAATATTTAGATCTCTTGTATTCTATAAAAATCCAGTCTGGCCCATGACTTTTGGGTAAGAAGGGAAAACAGTGATTGTTTCTTCAATTGGGCAAAAGGGCAATGAACTGAGACAAAGACAAAGTTTCTCTTAGTAAGTGTCTCTTAGTAAGTGACATGACCTAGAGATGGAATGCCCATATCCCCTAGAACTGGTGGTCATATGACCTGAACAGGTTCAAAAACAGTTCTCCCCAGGAGCTTGGCAGAGTCATATGAAAAGAAACTTCTATATGATTACTAGCTGATAGTACAAGTCAACCACAAGGAGAGTTTCCTGTCTAGAACTGAAGCCAAAAGAAAAAAAGTAGAGTCAAGTCAACAGAGAGATCAAGACAAGCCCAATGATATTCTTTGAGGCACATGGATCAAGACATACCTGAATGCATCTATCCCTCTAAATTTCAATTATAGAAATTAATATTGTCCCTTCACTTTTGTTCAAGCTTTCTTGTATTGGTTTTCAACAAAGCCAAGAACAACAAGACACTGCTTTCATATTTGAGTATACCTTGTTCCTTGTATATTTCTGAAGAGGAATCTAAAAATGTTTCATTGGAATTCTATCCAAAGCAAAATTTTAGCCCAGTTGTTTAATATATCTTTCTCAGAAATGTCAATTTGAATGACTGTCAAATAAAGAAGCAAGTTTTTACTAAACATGAACTATAGATATTTATAAATGGATACTTGTTACGTCAGAGATTCAAGATGTTGAGGAAGCAACACATGATTTTTCAAATTTTAATAGTTGTTCTGAGCCTCAAGCTTTTTATCAATAACAGAAGTTATAATTATTCTTACTTAGAGGAAGATTAAGTGAAACCATATTTACAAAAGATTACTATCTCCTTAAGGTTAAAGAAAAGATTTTGTTCACTGTTACATTCCTAGACTCTCAAGTTTTTCCTGGTACACATTGCATGCTTATTAGTCATTTGGATCAACTAGAATTGCCTGGTACCTGGTGAACCTTCAATACTTAACTTGATAACTAGGATAGTGGTGATGATTGTGATGATGATGGTGATAATGACGATGGTGATGATGATGATGAACATATGGATCAGTGAACTGTGTCACTCATGGAAAAGTAAGTGACATGGCAATTTTGTAGGGAAATAGTTGAAGCTATTTCATCATCCAAACAGAGTCCTGACATTATGAAGGTTGATGAATACATGACTTACTAGGATATTTCTTTAAAAATCCAGTGCATAAATAAAGTCATACTTTCTAAGATTAAGAGCAATAGTGAGAACACATGGAGTAGTATACATGATGCTACAAATGCAGTGAGGAGTTGCAATAATACACACAATAATTTTCTATTTAATTTTTTTTTTAATTTTATACTTATATTTAACATTTTAAGGCATAAATACATGATATAGTAGTATATTAAATATATTTACATATGTGAATAAATAGCAATAGCTAAGAATTGCTGAACATTCTGTGTGCCAGGTACTCCTCTGAGCACTGTATATGTTTTTCTCACAAAAGCTCTACATTGTTGGAGCTACTGTTATCACCACACCTTAACAAAGGAGGAAACTGAGGCATTGAGTATTTAGATAACTTGTTCAAAGGCATGCAATTAGGCAGAGTCAGAATTTAAACCCAGTTGGTCTGGTTTCAGGTGTCACTGTATGTTATATATCCAGATATTCTTAAAGAACCAAGAACCATCGAATGTGAGAAGCAGGCTTTGCCTCTGTGGTCACATAAGCAGACCAAAGTACAATCAAATGGTATTTTCTTTTCCTAAAGAATTAAAAGGAACCAGACAATGCATACCAGAACCCAAATTGGGCTTCTCAGCTTGAAGATAGGGCCAGCTCTGTAAACAATTTGAAGGTCCTTTCAAGATCATCCCCTCCTCCCTGCATGTCCCAGGAATAGAATATCTCTTAGTCCGAAGGTCTTTCCAACCAGCTTAGATGTCAGGACCCAGAATCATTTCTCCTTGGCCCTCTGGCATTTGTTTAAAACTGAATACTATCCCTTGAATAGTTTTATTTAATTCCCACAGAGAGATTGGATACACTAATACACAGAGGGGTGGAGGATTAATCAACGTTCTGTGGTCTTTCCCCAAAGGTATGAATCTAATTTCTTCCCACTTAAATTATTAAATAGTCCTCTATCTTCAGACTTCAGTCTCTTTTTCTCTTTACTTTGGACAAAGTTGAAGGGTAAATTTTTCCAATACTGTTTTTGAGGGACTTTCGTATTGTAGTATCTGTGCCACCCACTTTAAAAAAAAAATTCATTCCTTAAATCAGCTTCTGTCACTTTCAACATCTGTCTCCAATGACCTTTCAGAATGCATTATTCACCTGGCCTGACATCTGTTTACTGTTTGATTTGCACATCCTTGTCTTCTAACCTCCTCACCATTTTGTATATTCTTCCCTATACCTGGAACCTTCTCTCCCTCCTCTTTTTCATTCAATTCATTCATTTCTATTTTCTTACTATTTGTTGTACATCAGTTACTATTCTGACTCTAAGAAAACAGCCTTAAGCAAGTGGTACAAGGCATCTATGCTCATGGAACTTTTATTCCAATGGGTGAAAGCAATAAATAAACACAAGCCTTTCAGAGAGTGTAATGCTATAAAGGCAATAAACAGGATGATGTGGTGGACAGTGAGAGGGAAAGGGGTGTCATTTCCTTGGGTGTACAGGAAGAGATATTTCTGAGTGGATGACATTTGATCTCAAACCAAATAATAAGAAGGAGCTTGTCATATGAAGATCAAAACATTTCAAGGAGAGAGCTCAGCAACTACCCCAATATTCAAATATTATCTACTCTTGAAAGCCTAGTTCAGATGCAACCTTAGCTTCAAACTTTCTTTTATCTTCCCACCTGAATTCCAGCCCACAGCATTTTTTCTTCTTTGCAGGGCTTACCACTTCGCCCTTGGATTTTACCTGTTTATGCACATGTCTCTCTACCCTATTAGAATTTCTAATTCCTGAAGATCTCCTCTTCCTTAGATTTATAATGCTTAATCCAAAATTAATACATTCAAATCCTTGAATGAGAGAATAAAGGAATGAATGATTGAATAAAGGGAAAATGGAAGCAATTCATTTCACTTGTGGCAGAGGTGGGGAAGACAGATATTAGGAACACGGAGTCCTGGAGTAGTGCCTCAAAAGAAGCTGTAGAATATGTGAATGAGGTTAGTTCTGTTCAAGGAGAATGAAACTCTTCACTACCCAGCTGGCCCACTTTGGGAGAGAAAGTCCTAAATACTTTTTCCCTGATGATTGTTTTAAACATCTGTCTTTCACTGGGCATTTTGAGTTGTTCTGATGGGGCAGAATCCAAAGGCATAGGGAAATTCTTCAAAGATCTGGCACAGTCTGAAACCTGGGCGTGCTTTGATGAATTTAATCGTATAGAGCTGGAGGTAATTGTAGTACCAGTTTCTTGGTATTCAATGAAAGTGACAAGCCTGACAACTTCATTAACAGCATTGACATTAACCAACATTGACTGTGTCTTATAGTTAAATGGGGAAGGAAAAATTACAATTTTGGTACATTTTAATCAAATACTGCTTGTAGTCTGTGTCAGATCTACCCTTGTTATTTTGGGTGTTGTGATTTCACTGTGTTCCTTCTTTAACTGTTGCTGGGGAGATCTCCCTCTCCCAGCTTGCTCTCTGCAGAGTAACCAAGAGAGGTTCCTGAGGAGATACTGCATATTGTTCACAAAAGATTGGCTATGAGCGTGTCCTCTCTCTTTTTTTTTTTTGCAAACTGCCACTCACAGTGTCCAAAAGACAGTGGCTAACTTTCATCTGTAGAAAGCTCACTGCACCAGGGAAAGATGCCCTAACACAATGTTTATTACTTTTCTAGAAAGGCATCTGCCATCAGATATTTTCCTGTAACAGAAAAGCCTTTGTTCTCAACTGAGAAGGAATCCTGAATAGAGAATTAATTTCACTTCCCCAATTAACCCAAGAGATAAATGTGGGGGAAATAAAGCAGGAAATACTCTAGAAGACAGAGAAATGACATGCTCAGTGTGTCATGTTTTGGCAACAAATGCACTTTACAGTTAAAAAATATAGTTGGATTTGACTCAAATGTCTTGTTTGAATCACATCATTTTAAGTGGTACGAATATAAGTCTTTTAAAATACTCTAAGAGATTTTTAATGCTTCCATTTCCTATATTTAAGTTGTTTGTGACAATGATGCCTTTAACCAGAAATCACCATTTTGACAACTTTCTTTTGAAATGTCTTTATTCCTTACATTTTATTTCTTGTTCATGTTTTGAATAAGTTATCTCTGAATGCATTCTGTAGGGGTGTGCTTGTGCGTGTTGCTTAATAAATAGCTCTTATAGAGGTAATGTAAAATAATTTGACATCCAGAGTTAATTTTTTAAGTTGTCCAATAAGATTTGTATAGTTTTATTTTTTATTATTCTTTTGCTATCCCTTTAGCAATTCAACATTCATTTTTTTTCCAATACAGCAATAACCTTTGGCATTGAACTCTGTTTGAGCCAGAGCACATGCCTAAAATTGGTAGTAATGAATCTGATTCTCAGGTAGATCTGAGCTGTCACCTAATTTCCCTGAGATGTGGTGTCAGAAGGATAATGCCAACATGTCCACAATGACATAGCTGGGTTCACGCTGTTGGGATATGACACAGTATTAAGAATGTCCATGTCAAAAGGACAGTGTTTGGCTTCCATCAAGGAAAGACATGTTCCCATATAAAACATAAATTTTATGTTCAAATAAAACACATGGGAAGAAAATGTCTGTGTGAAATCTCTTTTTGCCTTTGTGCATTTTTGTTGTTACCCTCTGAAAAGTTCCCACAGGACCAGCACTAAGCTTCTCTTCATTAGAACCCAGATTTCAATTTAAATTTTAATTAGAATAGATGACTAGAATACTTACATTCTGTGTAGTTTCTGCATAGAGGTAATCAGCATCTAGACACATACCCCATGTTTTCATAAAAAGATTAGGATCTTATTCCACCAAGATTTACTGCTATCCATAAAATTATTTTCTATCCCACCATAGCACTATTTTTGTGGATGATTCATTTTTTGAATAAAATATTGTTTTTCCATTTATATAGTAACAAAACCCAGCAGAAAACTTGGCTTGAAATATGCACAAAACTTACATATTTGTAAGAGCCTAGCTTTACAATAAACATCTCATAAATCCCTGGACTTAAGCCCCCCCACCCACCCACCTACCCAGCATGTGAAGTATAATTTTGAACATTGTATTTATTTCTACAAACTAAAGAGACATTTAGATCATCAAACAGTACAGACAATTCTATTCTTCAAACTGCTTCCATGTTAATAAACATAGGTAATAGTGATCATTTTTAATGACTATGTAATCAGCTCCTAAATTTTGTCATTCAGCCTTTGCAAAACAATGGTTTTTGATAAATCATTCATCCATTCAACAAATATTCATTCAACATGCTACCCTGTGTCAGGGAATGTTTTATATTGGGAGGGTGGAGATGTGGATTTAGCAGTGAATAAGACTGGCAAGACCTGACCGTATACAGTTTATATTTTCTGAACTACTCAGGAATAGGAGTAGGAAAGGTAATATTATCCAAATTTTGGAGTGTCCCTGGAGTGTCCAGGGACTAAAGTCTCAGCGCTATCAAGCTATTGCCAGCCACTGCAGCATGAGTTCGATCCCTGACCAATTTGCTGAATAATTGTATATGCAAGAGGTAAACATTATCAGTATTATCAGTGCTCTGTCATATTTTATATTGTGAGTGCCTATAATTTTTCAATGAAATTGGGATCATACTGTAAACATGTCTTGTGTTCTGGCCTTTTCAAAGCAAACCTTTTCATTGTAAATATTACATTTAGAGAAAAGAGCTTGCAGATCCTAATTCATGAAATTTTACAAAGTGAACACATCTATGTAGCCCTCCTCCAGCTCAAAGGAGAGAACATTATCAGTCCCCATCGCACCTGTCAGAAGTCTCCCTTAATCTCCTTATTGGTCACAGACATTTTTTAAAAAGTAACTGGTCTCACTTCTATTACCTAGTTTTGCTAGTTTTGCTTGGGTTTGAGTTTATAGATGTGAAATTATACATTGTGTTCTTCGGTGTCTGCTTTGTTCTCCCAACAGATTCAAGCACATTGCTGCATGGAGCTCTAAGTCTGCTCACTATCATTGTTTTAATTCTCTGTTATATGGCTATGTTTTGCATTATTATATCACTATTTATCTTTCCTACTGGTGATGGAGATTTGGTTTGCTTCCAGTTGGGGTCATGATGAAAAATGCTATTCTCAAAGTGACTTCCATCTATTTTCTCTGGACCAATGAAGTCTTAAGCCTACTGTACAAGCACCTCCTGGGGATTCATTTGTCCTTCTTTCTTAGGTTGGATTCCTTCTTGCTTGCATTCTGTAACTTATTCATTCTTGAATTACCATCATTTTCATGAATATATCTTCAGTAGTCCTAAAAGTGATGTATATGAAGTACATTTTGTTTTATATTCTACGGGTTGGAAATAATTCTCTCTTAGATTTATGAAAGTGTAACTTTGCTTTTTCTAGTCTGCTATGTGGCTAGCATAAAGTCCAACTCTCTTCTCATTCCTTATCCTCTTAATCCTTAACAGTGTTGTAAAATTCCAGAATAACATTCCTTCATTTATACCTGATCACCTCCTCTATAATGGGTATTAAGTTGTCTCTTTCATGCCCTGCAAATATATGCATGTTCTTCAGTTCCTAGAAATTGTCACTACTGTTTCTTTCATAATTGAATTCCTTCTGTTTCTATTATGATTCTAGAACTCCTACTGATAAAAAATTGATCCTAATAGGTTATTTTTTTTATTTTAATTTGGGGGACATTTCCTGGAAATAAATAAAATTTTATCTCCAAACCTGATCCATATTTGCTCTTCTTCTTCAGAGATCTTTTGACTTTATCTTCAATTTTGTTCTTGATTTTTAAAAAACATTCTGCTCTTTTATTTTTAATATCCAAGATCTCTTTCTGGTTCTCTATTTTCTTTAATAACATCCTACTTTTATTTAT